ACTAAACATTTAACATTTAATTACCTATCGATGTGCAACACTGATGAAGAACAGCCTATACTAGCTTACAGTATCTCTCTAAAAGCACAAAACCTTCTAATTCTGTTTTTAAACTGAACTAATGTATTATTTTACTCTTTATGACTAAAAATTTGTCAAGATACAGAAATACTTTCAATTCCAACATAGTTTAGTGTATGGATTAAGCTGTAATGTAAAAATGGCATAACTCTACCAGGTCTAGAAATGCATTTTATTGAAAAATCACAAGCATTAAAAATCTAAACATTTTTCTTGCTTCCAAAGCTATCCAGTAAGCTGGACTAACCATCATGGTCATTTGGCATCCAAAAAGACTAAGTTATATTTAAACACTCAGTTCAGTTCAGTTCATTTTTATTTCAAACATATACATTCACCAACATTTCATAAAATCTTTCCATGTAGTTGTTTGAAAAGTAGGCAGAAGTATATACTTATTTAGCCCTACCCCCTCAGGTTTACATCATCATCATCTAAATTTGAACAACAAAAATCGTATACAATGCCTTCAACTTAGAACATAACATCACAAAAATATATTTTCTCATGTTCAACTAAAACTATATTTAGATTTGCTAATTTGCAGAAGAAAATAAACATCAGTTTAACTGCTGTCTTGGGTTAATTGCATTTTCTTCATTCTTATACTTATTTAAAATTTCTTTTTTGAGTTTTATTTTAAACTGGTTCATATCACTACTGACCTTTATTTCTTCTTTTAATTCATTCCAGAATTTAACTCCCGCTATTGAAATAGACATCCTTTTCAATGTTGCTCTTACTCTTTGTAATTTTAAATTCCACTTCCCTCTAAAATTGTACCTCCCTTCTCTTTCTAAGAACCATTTACTTATTTCGATTGGGAGCATCCCTTTCCTTGCCTTATATATTATTTGCACTGTTTTAAACTTCACCAGATCCTGGAATTTTATAGCTTGTGTCTTAATGAAGAGTGCGTTTGTGTGAGCCCTATACCCCTCCTGATTTATTAGTCTAATAGCCCTTTTCTGCATTATGATTATAGTCTGAATATTACTTTTATATGTATTGCCCCAAATCTCTACACAATAACTCATGTATGGTAATTGTAAAGCACAATATAACATATACAATGTTTTCCTATCCAGAAATTGTTTTACTTTCCCCAAGACAGCAATGCCCCGTGCTAACTTTCCCCTCACATAAGTGATATGTGATTTCCAACAGGCCTTATGATAAATGATCACACCAAGAAATTTTATGGTATTAACCCATTCTAGATATACATTATCAACACAAATTTCAATGTTAATGTTTTTCTTATAGTTTCCGAATAACATAAACTCACTCTAATTACTCTTAGGTAGTATGGGCTACATAGTTAGTTAATAACAATATTAATAAACATTTATGAAGTCCATCACATTAATTTCAAAGTCCTTGATTTTCCCCTGTGTGTTTTTAAAATTCAAATTATGAGTAATGACTCATTAAATCATTACATCACCTATCACTGTCAGATATTTCGGTGTCTTGTTAGGATAAAGCAAGCATGACGTGATAAATAAAATATGAGGTCCTTAAATTATAAAATAATAATAAAGTTTACAGTTAAATACAGAAACTGCTTTTCAAAAAATTCAACGTCTTTTAACACCTACACTTATCAACAACAGAAATCCCCATGTGGTAACGAACCCATCGAGAGACCAAGCAGAACTCATATTTGTTAAAATCCGAAAAAACAGCGGATGGCAATAGACAACAAACTGAAAACGCGCGGTTTTCGCTCCGCCTGCAAAGATTTCGAGAACGGGCTCTCGCCTCCCGCTGAATTTACCACAACTCAAAACACCAGCTGTGCCTTTCGTTTCCAACAACACGAAAACACCATCTCAAATCAGCTTCCACGAGTTTACCGAGACCTATAAAGCGACCGTACACCCAGTTGCCGCTCTGAAGCAGCAGCAGATCGTAGCCATTGCTCGGTTAGAGCGCAGCTAGTACGCAGGATATGAATGGAGTCACTGCAAGAGGCTTGCTACATGCTAGCTAGTGTTTTCAAAGAGCTTTGCATGTATATTTCGCTTATTACTCACAACACGGAGTATTTCGTAGCCACACTGCTGACTTAAAACACTAATTTAACAAAACGTTTAATTTTAAACCACTGTTTTGCCTCTATTTTCAGTCATTTTAACGCATCTGGGTTGACTTTCGTTAGCCTAGCTAGCTAACCAGCTAAGCCAACAAGCTATCAACAATATTGAGACGTACAGCTAGCTTGAGGCTTTGACATTCAAAACAAACCAGCGAGTGACACAATTTTAACACCCCTAGTGCACAACGATGCCTCGATTTGACAAAGACAAGGCAGTATTGTCTGATTTGAAGCGTAAACGCAATTGCGTAGCTAGCTATCTCTCCTTGTAAGCAAAATATGAGTTAATGTTGGAATACTCTTGGATGAGGGGGGTATGCTTGGGAATTCGGTGGAAAATGAGCATGTTCGCCGGTTCGTGCGGCAGCGTGGCGCTTCGATTGCGGTAGCTGTGCAGTTCGTGGCTCGCGTGCAGTTCGCGAATATTGCAGCTTTGTAACAGTTTTTTGGATTAATAGAGAAATTGCTACATTGTAACAAACTCACCCGAGACGATAGAGGTGCAGGCAGCGCGGGGTCTCCAGGACAGCCTCGCACGGGCTGCTGTACAGGACCCAACTACAAGGCAGGAAACAGGAGACTTCCGGTTTGCCTGATTGAAATCTTATCCTCCTGCGTATACCGTGGCAGAACTTTTCTTTCGACGTGCTTGGCAAAGTTTTTTCGTACAATTAAACACATTTCTCAGTAAATTTGTGGGGCTGTTTTTGTTTGTAAAGCTGAAGTCTGAAATTTAGGAAAAAGGACTGGAGATTTGCAGCTGATATCGCGCGAAAAGCTAACCCTTGATGTTTAAAAACGAAGTAAATAGCACATACCTGGAAACGTCTGGGCCTGATAAGGCACATCCCTGATACAGTTGCAGTGCACTACTAAAAATTACTAATCTGTGCATCCTTTAATATAAAGTAACTGAAGTTATGCACTACTTTTAACTACTAATTATTTGTGTCCTATAAAACTTAGTCTTGTAACTCCCTTATTCTAATGTTCCTCCATTTAGGTATTTGTTGGTAAGTATAATTGGATTATAATTTCAAATAAAATACATTAAAATAACATTTTTGCTACAGGGGGATTACACCCTTAGTCACGGATTATGCTATAAAGTGTTTATCAGTCAAAGTAGCCTAGTACAGCTCACAAAGCAAGCAGAAATAGTGTACCAGTTACACAGCAAATCTGATATGAATTATTTGTCTGATAATCAATATCCATATATACATATAGGATACTGCAGTTATACTGAAAAGCGATAGGCCATATTGGACCATGTTAACTTTCCAAACAATGTTTAGTGTTCTGCCAACACCTGCTGAATGTTACAAACATAATCAGGTTTGCTCACCTGGACAATGTGGTGACCCTGAAGTATGCTGTTCAGCATTATAATGTGCAAACGTTTCTATATGGTCCATATCAATAATATTGTTTGAGCACTGCTAAACAGAGCCAAAAATAATTTCAAAAACACAAAAAGACACAAATCACATGAGTAATTATGTCAGGAGGATTTGTCAGAAGCTGCTACAAATAAAATCACAACTATCACTATTTTTAACATCCATTTTGCATGGAAATGAAGGAAAATAAAAGGAAATGAAGAGTTATTCCTGAGTGTGTGGTCACTTCTTTTCAGATTGTATGCCCCTAGACTTGGAAAATAACCTCAACTCTGTTACAACTTGATGGCAGTTGCTGACTGATTACACTGAAAAGACATGCATGCAGTGCACTTGAATTTGTGGGGAACAGTTAACTGTTTTTATTTTTCCTTGTTTTACTTAATTACTCATTAACACCATTATAATTATGTTTCTTTTTATTCATGTATTTGTTTATTTTTCTAAATAAGCCTTGATTGTCTTGCTGTGTAGTAAAACTGTCAGGTGTGTGGGTGTGGATGTGTGTTTGTGGGGGGAAGAGGGTGGTGTTGCTTTGTGTATGTTGAACTGTTTGATTGTTCTTTGTTAAAATTTTTAAAAACATATTTAAGAAATCAGTGGTATATGCAAACTATGAGAAGTACCACGTGATATCACTTTAACACTTTACTGTGTTAATACCCATTAACATGTAACGTTACATGCAGTTCTAATGAACTGACTATCCATCCATCGATTTATTGTTAGGCTGATCACAAACCAAGAACCATTGTGCTGGATATTATAGCTTGTGGATGTAACTATTTGTGATTACATATGCATATTTTGTATTCATACTGTGTTTGAGTTATAGTCAAAAGAGAAAATGAAGGAGGCTATTTAATACATTTTAAGGGTTGTGTTTTATGAATAGAAATTTACTGTTATGACACCACTTAACTTTACAGCAGTCTCTGTACAGCTGTGATGTGTTCTCCTTTACATTACTGGTGATTAGAAATACTAGAAGTAGTTGTTAGCTGGTTAGCTGGATAGACTATGGGATAATCCAGTTCTAGATTTTCATACCAGCTCATACCAGACAATAAACAGATATTCCAGAACCACTATTGGTAAAAACAAACAAACAAACAAAAACCAGAAGCAATAATGACTGTAAAAAGAAACACATCAAGTACAAAGAGTTCCATATCGGACACAAAAACTACAACTCCCTACAAAAATAGACTCGAATCACAAAGACACGTAAAAGTTTAAATACAAAATTAGAATGACTTATTCGCAAAGTTAGAAAAAGGACAGCTCAGTTCACTGAAACAAAGTCAATAACTACACTAAAACCATACGAAGATTAAAATGTAACTTTTTTGATTTAACTTTTAACGGTTACCAGATATGACCAGTATACTGGATAGCAAAAGAGTACTTGAATGCACCAGCAGCAGAAACAGTAGTGCGTCGGTTCTCCGGTGTCACGTGACAGAGGTGACGGTTACTTTGCGGCTGGTGATGTGACAAGGCAAGCCTGCAGCCACTAGCAGTGGTTAGCGAGTTTGTTGACTTTTACATTTATTCGTTCTCTCTCAGAAACAGACCGATTGCCTGAAAATGGATAACAGCGGAAAAGAAAAGGAAGCAAATGCTTTGATGGCCGAGGCTGAAAAGAAAATGAAATCGTCTCAGTCATTTTTTGGAGCGTTGTTTGGGTGAGTCTGTCAGCTAGCTAACGTTAACGTTCGGCTAAAGGAGACAGCTATGCGGAAGGTTGGAAGCTGACCACAAGGGTTAAAAGCCAGGACAAAACGATTTTAAATAATTGTCGGTTGCTTTTATAAGTTGTAGTTAGTGTTAAGCGGTTATTTTCAAGGCTGTCGTTTAGCATATCTAGCTTATCTCGGCTCGTCGTATATCTGGAAAGCGTTTAGTGTGAAAGATAGCTCGAAATAGTCGGTAGTTGCTTATTTTAGACTCTGCTTTAAGGCAGCTTTCATGCTAGAAATAGCTTCAGTTGATTCCAAAGCTGAATTGTTTAACAATTCAAGATAATTTCACTTAATTGTAAAGGCAGCGCTTCCCCTATAGCGCCGTCTGTTGGGCAATTTTCGGAAGGTCACTCTGTCCAAATCACGTGTCATTCACATTTGTTTACAGCAAAAGATGAAAGCGCACTTGTGATGTAGCGAATGTTCCTGTAAGACTAGCTCTCACTAACCTGGACAACCGGCTTTGTATATAACAACCTAAATGCAGGTTAATTTTTCAGGTTGGATTTTTTTTTTAAATTATTGTAGCAGGAGCTCACGTGCAAGGTTAAAGGCTACGTGTTATGTATGAGGCTGTACAATCAGCGAGAGGTTTGTGGCGAAAATTTAATTGTCAAGATAGTTGTGTGTGGATAATGGGACTGAAATCACAAGCAAAGTCAACACTTTTATATTTGTACTTGTATACGGTTTTACAAACCTTTACTCACTATTAAATAGTAACTTAAAGTTTAAAGGATTGCACACTGAATGAAAAATCAGTGAGTGCCGGCTGGGAAAAGGACCGCTATAACTTGTTTCGACCAGTGACTTATAAAAAAAAAAAAGAAAAAAAAAAAGGTAGATCAAATATTTCGCATGCCAATCCTTGCTCCTCTTCTTCTATGTCATAGGCATTCAGTTGGTGCAATTGTACTATTTAAATTATAACATGTCCCATGATCCTTATGGGCAAAAATTAGATTTTGGCTTTAGATTGTGAGACTTGGGTGTGAGAGTGGATTTCAAAATTGATTTGGTCGCTGTTTTGAAACGGAGCTTAAATATGTTTGTCAGCCCTGAAAATTTCAGAAGGCAGTCTTCTGCACATGTGAAGTAATGAGGAAAAAAATGGAAAAAATAATAATAAAATTAATAAAGTTTTATCCCATTGCTTTTAAAATGTTCTTATTATGGTGCTAAAATTTTGCATGTAAGTATACTAAACAGAAAAAAAATCTGCTTATTATACATCTTTCCAAAGGGATTTTACTAAGTAAAGTGTTCATATCATCCTGTGATAATCTGCAATGGATGGGTGTCTTATTAAGAGAAAAAACATGTTTTGTCACACAGTGGCTCCTCAAAGCTGGAAGAAGCCTGTGACATGTTGGTGAGGGCAGCTAACATGTACAAAATGGCCAAGAATTGGTGTGGTAAGATGATTGTCGCATTTCAACACAACAAATGTATTGAATGCCTCTTTCTTTTTTTTCAGTGATTTTAAAATGCAACAATTTATCTTCTTAATAGCTGCAGGAAATGCATTCTCCCAAGCTGCTCACCTTCACCTGCAGATGCAGAGCAAACATGATGCAGCAACCAACTTCATAGATGCTGGAAATGCCTTCAAAAAAGCAGATCCACAAGGTAAACGTTACATCACTTTGGGGTATATAATATCGATTAAGTACACTTGTAAGTTTTACATCTTTTCATATAAAAGCTTTCAGCAATAAAAGTGAAAGTGGTTTAAAAATGTTATTAAATCTTTTATTTACTTTATTAAATCTTTAACTTCATACAAATGCTATAAACAGTCAAATTCCTGATTAATGAGAGCATGCGTTGATCCTGTTTCAGGTACTCTTTGAGTACTTCAGTGCTGTTGAGGTTTCTTTCCTTCTGCTCCACGTGTCTTTTTATAAACTGAGGTGTCTGATTATTATGATATTACTCAATGAGCTTAAGCTGCTTCACCTGACAAACCTGCAGGACTGGCCGCAGATAAGTTAGTAATCATGTCAGGAGAATGATAATTTTGATAAATCCTAATTTGATTTAAGTATTTAATGAGCACCCATCTAGCTGCTGTTTATTTATCACATGACAGCTGCACATAAGCTCTGCATCAATAAAAGAAAAGCGGAAAAGAATTGGAGTAAACAAATTTTCTTGTTTGTTTGTTTTTTTTAAAGTTAATTGTAATCTCATTATTTCATTTTATCTGTTATGATTTAGAGATATTAAAAGAGTGCCATCATGTGGCATTAAAACTTGACGTACGATACTTCATAGTTGTGAGTAGTGCAGTGAGTTTGTCTGTAAGCCTTTTAATGAGACTTAAATATCTGCATTCTAGGGCTGCTCGATTATGGCAAAAATGATAATCACGATTATTTTCACTGAAATTGAGATCTCGATTATTTGACGATATTTATTTAACAATAACAATGTGTTGAATAATGACTTTAAAGATTGTCAAAAAATAATATAAAATAGTGTGCAAATACTGATAACAGTGCAAATGTTTGCAATATAAAAAATATGTTTTTATATGTTTAGTGAACTTTGCAGTGTTGCTCTGTGGTGCAGCTACGACACTGTAGCAAAGTTTACACACTGTGTCTACTTGATCCACGTCTGACTCCGCCAATCAATAATGTTTCCACACCACTGAAGTTTTTTACCTCTCTTTTCAACCAACAGCAGTCACTCTCCTCTCCAAATAACTTCTGCTGAGCTTTCTGAGCATCCCTCGGGTCCTCTTAATCAGCGGTCCCCGAACCGGTACCGGTCCGAGTCGTTTGGTACTGGGCCGCGAGAGTTGAGGCTCAGGTGTGAAATGTATAGTTTTCAGGGTTTTTATCGGTTTTCAGCGTTATTTTTGTTATCATTTTTATCATTTACTCGGTTTTCCTTGGTCTTTTCACGTGTGGTATGAATAAATTTTCTTTTTTTCGGTACTGGTACTAGTTTTATTTTGTTGTATTTATACGCGACACCTTAAAGGCCGGTCCATGAAAATATTGTCGGGCATAAACCGGTCCGTGGCACAAAAAAGGTTGTGGACCGCTGCTCTGACACGTGTTCGAAATGCAGAGAGGTGTGCTCGATTTGCCACACGGAGCAGCGCGAGAGTAAAGCACGAGGGAGGGGCTAATAATCGGCTCAGTCATTTTTAATGATCGTTGAAAGCCCAGATCGTAATCGTGATTAAAATTCGGTTAATTGAGCAGCCCTACTGCATTCTAAAGTTTTCCTTGTGCTTTGATGCAAAGTTTTGTACTGCTGAAAACAAGGCGTTATGAAAGTGCAGACATTAATCAATATTAATAATAATTCAGTGTCCTATCTAACAACCCACAGGGCAGTGGCTAAGAGTTTAATGAAAAAAGTTTATTTTTAACTATTAATGCAGTTTCATTAACACAGTATTGTATATTATTTCACTTTAAGTCTGAAAAATGTTACAAAAGCCATGAAATAAATATGGTCTAGTACACCCCATTCCCCTGTTTAGACTCTCCCTGTTACTGCAGATTTTTCACCATGTAAAACAAACGGCAGTGGATGGAGCAGCTACAAAGTTTGCTTTTCTTCATGTCACAGTTTATTAATCAGGTGCTCTCATTAAGGACTCTTTCCAGACATTTTCCAGTAAAGGTTTTAATGTCGATTACTGGAACAGTGCTTCTGTTTTGGATACTAGAAACACATTTTCTTTGACTCCACCTGAGCGCTCATCATCTCTGTAATGATGCTGCCTCTTTTTTTTTTTTTCCGCAGTGTGTGAACAGAGTCCGGCTCCACGTTAAACTGTGCTAGCATCAGTGCTGCTGTTGTGTTGTCAGTCTTTTTGTCATAAAACTGGGGACTGCGTAGGTTTAGTGTTCAATTTCATATTCACTCTGCCCCTAAATACATTTGTATTGCAGGTCTGTTTTTAGTCGCAAATGTGGGTGAGACACTCGTGTTCACGTTTACATGGTGACGAATAGAGCTGTACATTAAATGAGGCGTTGAAATTGTTGAATTTGTACTAAGGATTTTTTTTTTTCTTTCAATCAAGTTATTCGAATTACCCGATGAATCGTTTCGGTCCTGCATCATAGTACACATTTCATAGCCCATCTTGTTCCTGTGTGGGATTGTTGTCATTGGGTAGAATGAATTTTGGCAGAATCGGACAACTTCCTGATAGTATTGGGTGATGGATAAGGATCTGACAAAAAAAAACCCTAAATGTTTTCTGTGGTACTCAACAAAGACCACTAAGGGCATCCTGATTGATCCTAGTAAAGGCCACAAACTAAAGTATATCAGCCTTGTAATGAACCTGTATATTATAGTTATTAATTGGGAATGTGAACAAATACACTGGAGAAGAGTCCAAATAAAAAAATTTCATTTTACAGTGGGGTCCTTCTATATTTACTCACCTTGAACCTTTATATAGCTTCTAATTTGTTGAATTTTGTTGTATTTTATTATGTAGTATATATTTTTGGGGTTTTTTTGCTAACATTGGTTTACTGAATAATTGTAAACTTTTTCTGAAAATAATTGTTTGAATATATTTCTCAACAGAGGCAATTAACTGCCTAAACCGAGCTATTGAGATTTACACGGATATGGTGAGTTTCTTTTCAGTTTAATTTCTAAAGAGCATCTTTAAGGAAATCAGAAGCAAAACATAAAGGGTAGCTCATATTTCTCGCTTTCTCTCACTGTCTTTTTTTTTTTATTTTATTTTTTTTTACTTTTTCCACAAAAAAAAATAAAAAATCATATTATAGGGGCGTTTCACCATTGCAGCCAAACACCATATCAGCATTGCTGAAATATATGAAACGGAGCTTGTGGACGTTGACAAGGTTGGGTTAAAAACTGTTTCTTCTTGCCTTTTATTTAAATCCTTATTATATTTACTTTTTATTAATTGTCAAACAGCAGTATAATAAGCTCTGTTTACAATTCATGTATATGTTTGTGTAATTTCTTTTCCAGGCCATTGCTCATTATGAACAGGCAGCAGATTACTACAGAGGTGAAGAATCCACCAGGTAACTATTTTAAATAAGCACTGTTATCTTTTGCCTTTGGGGAAGTAAAGAATGTAAATGTGTAAAGACACTATGCTGGCTGCTCATGTGCATCTGTACTAAAATTCCCTATTACTTTCATATAGCAAGTAGCTCATGCATCAGACTGCTCTAAATACTCTGTTTCAGACTTTAGTTTTTTTCTAATATTTGGCTCTGTGTGACGTCAACAAGAGCAAACAACAAGAGCATTTTTAATCTGGTCATATTTGACACACAGCTCCATCCACCCACCCGTTCGTCAAACTGTCTGTTCAGGAGTGGCAATCCATCAAAAGGAAGTTGGTCTAAAACTGCTCATTGTAGACGATTTAAAAAAAAAAGCACTAGTGCCCAGTATAAGATAATTAAGAATGAACTATGAATCATGTAAAGCTATTCTAATGGAGTCAAAGAATTAAAATATGGAACTGCAAATGAGCACATGAGGTGCTATCTAAAATTTCTGATACATTAATATTATGTCTTGTTTTACAGCTGTAGCGTTACTTTTCAATTTAGGACCCTCGATTTCAGTTAATGTGTGGTCTGACATATTGCTGGATTTTTCCTTTTAAAGTTCAGCAAACAAGTGCCTTCTGAAAGTAGCAACCTATGCAGCTCAGCTGGAGCAGTACCAAAAAGCTATTGAGATCTACGAACAGGTGAGTTAATGCCACCCAGCAGCTTTTATTTCAAGGTTTTATCCCTCCGGGAGCTTTAGTTGGAGAGTAAAGATAAATTGTGCTTTTTGATTTATTCATTTATTTTTAGGTTGGAACCCATGCAATGGACAGTACGCTCCTGAAATACAGTGCCAAGGATCACTTTTTCAAAGCTGCGCTTTGTCACTTTTGCGTAGACCATCTTAATGCGAAAGTAAGCCATTACATACAGCTCTTATCTGCTGATAATATGCAGACACTGTAATGCAAGCCTTTGATTTTAATAATCTCCCTGCCTTTTCCCAGCTTGCTGTGCAGAAGTATGAAGAAATGTTTCCCGCCTTTTCAGACTCGAGAGAGTGCAAGCTGTTGAAGGTAGGCTTTGATGTAATTTTGGGACTAAATCGCTCATCCAGACACATCCAGTAATCATGAAGACTTGGAGTGCCATTTAACATAAGAGACTGTTTTCCATCTATTTCCACTATTGTGCTTGTTTTTGTTTTCCCGTTCTCTTTCTCTCTATTAAACTCATGTTAATCACATGTGATTGACCTGGGTTTAATATACATGCTAATGTTGAAAACATAACTGGACCATAACCTTGAAATTTAATTGAAACCTATTTGGTTTGGTTAAATTCAGTTTAATCTTGTTTTTAGTCATCTGGGTTGAGTAAGTAAAGTAAGCCGTGTCTGTGCTTGAAAAGTGTTTTCAAGTGGGTTGATTCTTTTTTTTTTTTTTTTTGTCTGTTTGTTTGTTTTTCCTTTTTCCTAAATTAGAAACTTCTAGATGCCTGGGAAGAGCAGAATGTGGATGCCTATACTGATGCAGTGAGTAAACAGTTGCTTTTTTAGCAGAATAGAGGAAGTAGCAAAAATGTAGAATTTACTTCTGTCTTTTATTTCTTGTTTTTTGTAATTCTACCTTGACACCAGTTCAGTGAAAGAGTTTGCAGACTGTAGCTTCTGTTTCCAGGTTGAAAGACATGCCACCTTGAGATGGTGGACAACAGATTGTGTAGGCTTTTCTGTTCATGATTTTGTGATCCAAACTGTTGAAATTGGATTGCATAATGAGTGGTTTGTGCATTCATTGAAGCCATTTCCCCCAAAAAATCTACTGGAGTCCAGCAGTAATATTATAGCGATGGAAATGAGAATAGTAGGTCAGATTTTTCTGTATGTGTCCCATGACTGAAATATCGATTTGCATCAGTACCTTACAATATCACTACATAGTGATCAAATCAAGTGTTATTAGAACAGTCCTCTGACAGTAAATAGTTGCTGTGTCAGTTTCTTCTTTCTTGTACAGACGTCTGAAATATATTTACAGAGCTTACCTTTTTTAAGCCTTTTTATTTTTTTTCAAAATGTATTAAATTAATTTTTACCTAAATTCTACACACAAATCTCCCAAAATGACAAAGTGGGGAAAAAAGTTTCATTAAAATTCTTTTAAATGCATTAAAAATAAAAGCAAAACAAAAATAGAACATGTTCATAAGTATTCACATTCTTTGCTTAATTTCTTGAGATCTGAGAATCCTTCAGTGGATTTTGACAAATTCCAGATGGGCTGTTTTGTTCTTTTCTGAGGAGTGGTAGCTCTACTTAGCTTTTTTTTTTTTTTCCCTCTTTGTTATTATGGGCTGTTTTGTATAGAATTGGAGGTGAAAATGAATTGAATCCATTTGCAGTAGGGCTGAAACTAGATGAATTGTGGAACAAGTGAAACGCTGTGAAAACTTTTCAGATGTCTGTATCTGAAAGATTGCTTTCTTAATCCAAACTGTTGAAGCCTCAACAGGTACATTTATGCAGTTGGAAAAAAAATACTTCATTTTAGTATTGTTTAATAGCAACTGGATTAAAAGTGTTAATACTTACTTTCTCAGGTGAAGGAATTTGACACCATTTCTCGGTTGGACCAGTGGCTCACCACCATGCTTCTCCGTATCAAGAAAACCATACAGGATGAGGAGAGTGACCTTCGCTGACTTGCCTCTCCTGTTATTCTTTAAGTCCTAAAAAAATGACTTGCATCCTTGTTTTTTGCCTTGAGCCTCTCACTTCCATTTGTTTGACCATTAGCCCTTGTATTCACAGATACCATTTCTTTCCTGCAGTATTCTCTCAAATTCAAAACAGTACTCCAAAAATGATGGTCCTTTTAGGTATGAACACTACCCTTCTGAGTGCAGGCTTCACACAGTATGTAAATTGTATATTATTATGAATCAGGTATTGGCCCAGAAATAGTTCAGCTGTTCATAATCGGGCTGCAATACCCAAAACTCATACCAGCACAATTGTATAATACAGGTTTTATTTTTATCTTCATTTCAATGAGAACAAATGAGAGGACACAAACTCACTAACACTTCAAGCAACTATATATATCTATATATATTTCTAAAATGTGCTTTAGAATAAACTAACCAAAATGCCAATATTGATAAAGGCACTCAAATTTGCTTTGGTGAGTTTGAATGCGTATGTGTACTATTTTGACAAAGGAGAGCGCCTCTAATTAAACAGTGCTAGATCTCAGCTGCAGAGGCCAAGAGTGTCGATCTGAGGTTTTTCCATTGAATATATACCCCCTCTGCCTTATGACGCAAATTTCTCAGGATTTGGACTTGATTTGATGAAGATTTATAAAACATGCTTTTATAAGCACAAGTAATTAATTTGCTAATTGTTGTCATCACTTCCATTAAAAGTGCTTTTATTCCATAAAAGGTGATAGATGCCCTTCACCTCTGTGAACATTTGCATGGTTTGGAATACATGAGAAATGTAAAACAGCTGTTTTCCACCTGTGTAGGAGTGTAAGAGAGAGAGTGTGTGTGTTTTTTGTTTTGTTTTTCTTTCTTAATCTTTGATTTGTGTTTTCTTGTCTTAAGTAACCAGGCTGAAAAAATAAACAGTTTTTAACGCCTGCAGAGATGCAATACATAATTGGGGGGAAAAAAGAGCTTTACGGATCTGAACACTGTGCTCATGTACCCTGATGATTTTGTCCGTGAACAATTAGTCTTAAATAATTTGTGATGTTTCCTGTCAAACGTTTAAATAAACTTGTCTCAATAGCGCATCGTGGGTGTGGTTTCCACCTTTGGGAAGGCTGCACCTGTGGCATTTCTCGCTTTCTGTTGAAACGCGAAATAAGGTTTTGCGCTCCGGATGAGTTTTCGATACCCGAGGACACTTGGAAACTATTTTGAATTTTTCTCTTGCTTTACAGTAATCGGGTTATTCTTATTTTTCTTCACTTTAGATGCAACTCATTTGTTATCGGTTTGACTTTTTAAAATGTTTTTTATCTTCCGCTCAGGTGTAAAAAGTCAGTGCAAACCCTATCGAGAAAGTAAGAATAAAAAGAAGTCCACCTGATTTTGATTTGTTTGCGTCCTCCCCCCAACTCCTCGAGACGTTTCTCCGTTATTTGTTTTTTGGCTTCTAATTAAACACAAGAGAACAAAGGTGTTCCCAGGTGTATCTCAGCACGCTACAGCTGCACGTGAATGGCCGTGCAAGCCCAAATTAATTCTTTCATGTACGTTCTTCTTTCAAATACATATTTTGCGACAATAAAAATACTATATATAGTATATTATATACAGTATTTTAATGCATTCAGACATTGTTATATTAAGATCACATATACATGTATTTTTATGTACACATTTATATATATGTTCAGTCTCTTATACAAATATTTTTATTACAATCATGAGCCTAGTGGGCTTATGAAAACTATTTTTCATCATCTCCTGAAACTCTCATATCTTCGTCGCTTGGGGGAGCTAGGACGGCTCATCTGCATCCAGTGTTACTGTAGTGAAGTAGTCTTGATGCATGCTCAATCATCCAGGTAAGTAAATCTCCAAAAGTTGATTCTGTTCATCTGGACATAGCGAAAATGTGACGACGAAACGTTTCTCCCACAAAACGCTACGTCCAGATGAACAGAATCAACTTTTGGAGATGTAGTGAAGTAGATTTAGGTAGGATTTTACGTGATGTCCATGAATGCAGCACTAACATCCACACCTTCCCAGTTGATAATTGGAGGCCTTATAAGAAACAGCTGTGCTTCATTACCACAAGGAGGCATTTGGAATTCTTTTCCCATCCAAGGTGACCAAGAGCGGTTTGATTTTTTCAGGAAAGCTGCTCATTTTAGTATTGCCCTTTAGAGAGTAGTAAGTGGGACTGTTGCGTTTGTTATTATGTGGCATATGTAGGGTGGACTTTGGCGACTGCTTCCCTCTGTTTTATTACAGGATTGTGCCACACTGCTGCTGTCTTGTACCCTTGTTGTCATTTTACAAACATGTATGGACTGGCCTTGACTGACTCCTGGTTTTATGGTCTTTTACTCTGAATTGTTTGATATATTTTAATCATGCTTTTTGTAAAGAACTGTACCTTAGGGTGTATTTGTTTCCTTTATCTCTTTTACTGATTTGTTTTATGTTTTATTGCTTTAGTGGTGGTGCGGCTGCTTGTCATGGGGCTAGGCACGTAAGGTGGAATTCCCCAGGTTCATCCACCCATGGGTATTCTGCTGTTTCAGCTCCTGTGACTGAGAGACTGATTTATCTTCCTTGGGAGAGGAAATGCCCATGGTTCAATGGTAAGACTGGTATAGGTATTGCCGCGTGGGTGGAAGAGGTGCAGGCCTGTTTGAGGGTACGACATCTTTCACCAAGCCCTTTTCATCTATGATCATCTAGAAGGCAAGCCCAGAGAAGAGACTACATATTGGCTTCCAGAGGAGAAAGACGATCACGAAAAGATTTTGACTGTTTTACAGGACCTGTATGGGTGTACTAAGTCATGCCTTTCTGCAGGTGGAGTTCTTTTCAAGACGACATCAAATTTAATTGTTCTGTATTTTGGGGATGACATTCGATCTCGCTTGGAGACACCAATCACACTGTGGTGACTGGTGATGGCAGGAGTGGACAAAATGTAGTCCACAAAGCTACACTTTGGGCTGAGGGTTGTTTGTTACCTGTGTGGGGAGGGACAAAGAAGCGCTCACGAAGAAAAGCTGAGCAGGGGGAGAAGAGACAACCGGAAGAGTTTTGTTGGGCTGAGGCAGAATAAGGGTTCTGTTCACCTGACCTGTAAATTGTGGATTTCTTACTAAAGGCAAGGTTCATATTATTTATTTATTTTTTAATAATAACTTGATGCACTTGATTTCAAATAAAGATTGTTTTAAAAGCTAATGTTGCTCATAAATTCTTGTCCTCTGAACACCAGATCGGTTTTACAAAGGTGGTGGCAGCGTAACCTGTTTAATCCTCAGTCATTCAGGTCATAGTCGTTTTAGGCTTGAAAAGAATGTGAATGGACTTTTTTTTTTTTTTTTTTTTTAATAAAGATGTTTTACTGAAGAAGTCCAGTCGCCTTCTTTTCAAGCTCTTAAGAATAAATAAAAATCCAAGTTTTATTACAATGTTTCTAACACTGTGGAGAAAAGGATGGATGATCTGAGAATCTTCCTTATTTTAAATTGGAAAGAAACCCCTGTCTTCAGTTCCAGTTTCTTCAGTGCATGTCTGAAATAAGAAAAAAAAAAGTGATCTGCTTTTGTTTTTCTGGATTTGTTTGCTTAGCAACCTTTAGTACAGAGAGCTGAATGCTAAACGCTGTACGTTTTAAATAATATGAGCCTAAGGAGCCTATTGCAGCTGCCATAGGGTGAGAGGCAGGGTGCACCCTGGAGAGGTCACCAGGGTAACAAACATATGCACTCACATTTACACCTATGGGCAATATAGAATAACAAACTAACCTAACCCCACTAATTGCGTGTCTTTGGACTGTGGGAGGAAGCTGGAGTACCCAGAGCAAACTCACACAAACACAGGGGAGAACATGCAAACTGCACACAGAAAGGTCCCGACCAGATGGTAGAGTCAAACTCAGGACATTCTTGCTGTGAGGCAACAGTGTTAACCACTGTGGCACCCTGAAATGAAAGATCATTCAATTAAATTTTATTTGCATAGCACCAAACACAACAGCAGTCTCCTCAAGGTGCTATATGAAGTATTATTTGTAAAGTAGAGACCCTAGATTAATACAGAGAAAACCCCAACAATCAAACAACCCCTTTTGACCAAGCACTTCGTTTTTTCTTTGGACTGTTACTAATGCTTAAATGCAAAGTGGTGCATAAATAGAGTGGAAAAGGGTACGTGAACAAGAAACAGTCCATCAAGGGAAACCCCCAGCAGCCTAGACCTATTGCACTAAGGGAGGATTCAGGGTCACTTGATCCAGCCCTAACCCTATGCTTGATCAAAAAGGAAAGTTTCAAGCCTAATCTTAAAAGTAGAGAGGGTGTCTGCCTCCAGAACCCAAACTGGAGCAGGTTCCTCATAAGATGGACTTAAAGGCCTCTGAATCCCAATGTACTTTTAAATACCCTAGGAACCACAAGACTAAAGTCAGAGAGCTGTTGTTCCTAGAGTGTTTAAAAGTAGAATGGGAGGGAGAGCCTTCAGTTTCCAGGCCCCTCTTATATGGAACCAGCTTCCAGTTTGGATTCGGGAGACAGACACTATCTCTACTTTTAAGATTAGGCTTAAAACTTTCCTTTTTGCTAAAGCATAAAGTTAGGTCTGGACCAGGTGACCCTGAATCTTCCCTTAGTTATGCTGCAATAGATGTAGACTGCTGGGGGATTTCCATGATGCACTGTGTATTTCCTTTTCAGTGGTTCTGGTTCTGCTGGAGATTTCTTTCTGTTTAAAGGTAGTTTTTCCTTCCCACTGTCACCAAAGTGCTTGCTCATAGGGGGTCATATGATTGTTGGGTTTTTTTCTCTGTATGCATTATTGTAGGGTCTACCTTACAATATAAAGCACCTTGAGGTGACTGTTGTTGTGATTTGGCACTATATAAATAAAATTGAATTGAATTGAAATAATAATGAATTAAAACAGTCGAGCCCAGAAAGGACGTTTCTAACTTTAGAGAGATTGTTCAAATGCAATTGGTGTGTAACCTTTTATAATCTTCAGTTACCTTCATACACCAACAAATACCAATCATATTTAGGTTGTATGTTGCGTATGTCTATTTGTCACAGCTGAAGAAGGTTTTGCCCTCCTTCTGTTGAAAGTCTGGTTATTCCACTGGTTCCAAAGTTCTTTCGCAGCTATTTGAATCCAGGGGAAAAAAGATATAATGATGACAAAATACATGGAGCTCATTAAATGAATCTAATAAGCAATGTCTCTCCATAAAATTGAAAAAGCAATAATAATGAAAAAATAAATTAAACCACTTGATTTAACTATGCCCATATCACCTCAGTTCTTTGATTATCCACTAATCTGCCAGTGATAATACTAGGCATGTTTAATCCTCACCTGTAAAGCATGAAACTGATGAGAACACCATATTTTCATGATGACATCTCACTGGGTCTTGTCTACATAAGCAAGGTAGTTGATAGTCCTACTGAAAGCAGCCATGGAACACAACCCTCCATCTCACAACTATGTGGATTCCAACTACATGCCTTTAGAAAAAGGAAATAAGTGTAATCTTTGTAGGAAAACTATAACAAAGCCAAGGTTATGCACCATTTAGTGTAAATGAAACAACGAGCTCTTTTGCTTTAGATAATCCATTTTGTTGTAGACTTTAAGTTGGGAATCAGGACTTATACTTTTTAATTTCTTTAAATGTACCTTTAAAGAAATAAAGAATTTAAGTACTTTTTCCAAATAGTTGTGATACACTCTCTACGGACTTTGTGCTATTTTATTTATTTTTATCTTGGTGCGCTGTGTGGCAGACAGGATGGAGGACCCAAATGCAGGACTCATAGATGGACAGAAACAGAGGGTTAAAATACACGGAGGGATAACAAGGGAATGGGACACAGAAGGAGAGCACACCTGAGAGTAATCAAACACAACAAGACCAGGGGAAATCCAATTAGACACACTGACATGAGACACAGACTACAAAGTAAAACAGGAAACATAACACATAGACACGGACTTGACAAGGGGATACAGCTGACAGGGGAGACAGAACTACCGTGGAACACAGAGACAAAAACCAGAATACTAAGAACACTAACACTGAAACCAAAAGACTAGGAATGATAAATACTGACAAACTCAAAGTTCAATAAATAACACAAACTCAAAACACTGGGTCAGTGCCCCAGGACCGTGACACCAGAGACATGACACCAGGAACACAGGGGAGGGACAAAAACAGAACAGAAACCAAGAAACTTGAAACTATAAATAACAACAAAGAAATCCGGGACTATTAATAATTCAAGATACAGAACACTGGGTCACCGACCCAGGACCGTGACAATTCTAAGTTGGTCTTTTAAACTTTTCTCATTCTAACTGATTGGGCAATAGGACACTGTATGATCGCTGACGTCTTGCATTATGTCTTCTGAAGGATCATTAATAGGGTCCTTTCCTTGCATAATTCCAATTCCTTACATACTATCTTTGGATGCGTAACCAACATGACGACAGGCTTCTATTCATATCCTACAACTTTCTTCAAGTTGTCATCTGATAATGTTGCATAAGTCAGTGGTTCAGTAACAACGTTTTGTCTGTGCCTGTAGAGTGTAAAGCAGCTAACTCCTAAGTATGTTGCAATTTCTTGCATTCCAATAATTATTACATAAGACATCTGCTGTATCACAGTTGACCTTAATGTCCAGTCATGAGAAGTGGAAGCAGCAAGGTCTAAGATGTGGTTCTTGTCTGGTTCCAAAAGTAGTGAATAAAAAAGTTCAGCCAACCATATAAGGATGTATGTAAGGACAATGTATTCACTGTCAAATGACAGTATAATAAGCTCTGTTTACAATTCATGTATATGTTTGTGTTTCTTTCTTTTCCATGCCGTTGCTCATTGTGCACAGGCAGCAGATAACTACAGAGGTGAAGAATCCACAAGGCAACTGTTTTAAATAAGCACTGTTATCTTTTGCTTTTTGGGGAAGTAAAGAATGTAAATGTGTAAAGACACTGATTGCTGCTCATTTGCATGTGTAAAAATAACCCCTATTACATCTATATAGCAAGTAGCTCATGCATCAGACTGCTCTAAATACTCTGTTTCAGACTTTGGCTCTGTGTGACATCAACGAGAGCAAACATTTTTAATCTGATACGCAGCTGCACCCACCAGCTCTTCCAACTTTCTGTTCAGGCGTGGCAATCCATCAAAAGGAAGTTGGCCTGAAACTGGTCATTGTTGACAATTGAATATGGGGAAGCACCAGTAACCAAGAAGGAATTTGAACTGTGAATCGTGTAAAGTTACTGTAGTGGAGTCCAAGTCCAGTATAAATAAAGTATGGAACTCCAAATCAGAACTAAAGGTTCTTGATTTTTAGGTTGGAACCCATGCAATGGACAGTACGTTTCTGAATATGGAACTCTTATCTGCTGATAATATGCAGACACTGTAATACAATCCTTTAATTTTAATGATCATCCTTTCTCATGCCATTAAGACATTTGAAAACAAATACAAGAACTTTAAAAAAGATTCCTAAATTGTACAGTGTACAGTGGAGTGAAATTACAATGGAGGTAATGTGCTCAGACTTTTTATGTGCCAGTAGCATTTTGCACAACCTGCAGATGCCTGATGGACGCATGGCTAACCCCACAGTAAAGCATGTTCCAGCCTAGATGTAACAAAGGCCTCAAGGTCTCAAATAGCTGCCTTGATAAAATAGGCTTTATTTTGGCTTACCGTCTCAAATAAAGAAAGCTAGATCTTACAACAGCTCTAACCTGGTTTTCAAGTTTAAGATCTGCTATCCATTTTAACTCCCAGATTAGCAATGATCAGTTAGTGTTCTCCTTGCCATACTCCTTTTGTCCTCTAGGGTCAAAAATGACCCCACCTCATTTAAGAGTGTTTTTAAAGTACATAGTATAAAATCTTAATCAATTCTGTGTTACACCTTAGTTTTACTTAAAACCAGCACAACCACAAAATTTCCCTTCATTTTGCAATTTAGGGCCACCAGACCTTGTTTCCATAAAAGTATACCCTATTTTTGAGCGAAAATAAAATGAGACAATAAAATATTAAAATTTTTAGATTATTTTGACTATTTGACTAACCACAGAGTGCTATATGTTGAACTTTAATGAGAATAATCACACCCGCTGTCCTCTGGGGTCAAAACAGAGCCAATCTGGTTTGATTG